CTTATCTGCTTTCTGACCAGGTATCCTCTAACAAAAGCTTGCAATTTGATACAAGATTCACGTATCTGCACATATTCTTCTCTCTCGTGCAGCCATTTTTTGTGTACGGTACCATTGCTGGATTAATWGTACAGCTTCTCTTAGAAGTAAATATTGTTTACGTGCTTGTTTCATCTTGACAACTGACTGCAACTTTAYTGTAGCATTTTTTAGACTCACAAATTTCTTTCTGGAAATACAATCATGATAATATGATTTAATCTTTATAATAGATGTTAAGATATGAATAAATGTTTTCCTGGCTTGCATCCCTCTATATGCAGACTGTAGAACAATGACAGCAGAACGTGTTCTCTGATAAGTTGCTAGAACTTTCCTGGCTGAAATGTAAGCTCGGAAATGAGTCTGAATTATAATGGCTGCTTTCTTCATCCTCTTATATTTCCGTAATTGCTGATGTTTTCTTATGTGTGCCTGCAATCTGATAACAATCTTCTTAAGGTTTAAAAATCTAATTTTGTCCTGTCGCATTCTCCAATATGATTGCAAAACATAAGCAGCTCTAATTTGTCTGTATAAATTCCGAGCCTTCATTCTCCTGAAAGCTGCCTGTAGTTGAATGGCTGCAGCTCRTTTCTGTAAGTAGTTGGTGCGCTCAATCTTTCCTTTAAGATATGCTTTGTAGTACTTCTGGATAGTCAGTACAGACTCTTTCTTTCTTTTATATAACTTTTGGGCTTGAAAGGACCGAAATCTTCTCTGAAAAATAACAATACAAGATCTAATATAAATATATTTCTGTAATTCTCTGTGCCTTCTATACCATGAYTGTATGACAATAGCTGACTTTTCTTTAGCTTTTCTCCTAGAATGCCATTCTCTAAAAGCTCTTTGCAATATTACTGCAGCTTTTATTTGTAATTGCATTTTATGTTGCTTCCATCTTCTGAACACAGATTGGATTATAAGGCATGATGATTTTAACCTTTTATATCTTTGTTGATCTTGTTTTCTTCTTAAACTAGCACGCCAATGCCTTTGAATTATAATTGTGGCCCAAAGATATCGTTTATAAGATTTAACAGCAATTATCATTCTTATTCTAGATTGCAGGATGACTGAATAATATTTCAATTTCAGAAATCTTTTTCTAGTGGAATATCTTCTCCAATACCCCTGGGAAAGGTAATAAAGGACAAAATGTAAAATAGACATAGCTTTCTATTCTTAATACTTTTGAAAATATTAAGTTTTCTAATACCATGCTTAAAAATGAACACATTAATTAGAAAGCCAATATTTCATTGCTAACATCTTGTTTATAGTTTAGTCTTTACATTGATATAGCTGTAGTCAATTCAGAAATCCATTTCAATTCTGATTGTATTTACACTGCATTTGTATTACAGAGTCATAAGTAGCAATTTTGTTATATTAGAAGGAAAAGAAAAATATTATAATATTTTTGGTATCTATTGGTTATATATAATTTCTGAAGACTTTATTTCCAGATCTTAAAYACTTCCTTTATTTTATGGTTGTTAAACTATCTTATTATGCTTGAAAATTCTGTACATAAGGCATCCTGTACTATAACATTACAGGACTGAAAATATAAACATAGTGAGCYCTCTGTTTCCATGGATTTCCCATCCATGAATTCAAACAGGTAAGGGTGGAACATTTTCCAAAAGAAAAAAGAAAAGAAAGATGTGACTGTATTGAACATGTACCAACTTGATTTCTTGCCATCATTCTCTAAACAATAAAGTCTAAAAACTATTTATACACTATTGGCATTGCATTGAATATTAGAAATACTATAAGAGAATTCAAAGCATACTGGAGGATGAGGATGTGCATGGTTATACACAAATACCATGCCATTTTGTAAACATACAGATTTGGATATCTGCTGGGGTCCTAGAACCAATCCCTCATGGATACCAAGGGACAACTGTACAGGAGTTTGAGAAACAAATGAGCTAGACCACTTTCAGGGTTATTGTTGTCATTAAAAATAAAATTACTTTCTTTTACCAAATATGGGGATCACAGATATATAATATATGGAATATATATATATATATATA